CTTTCCTATTGATTGACTTGATATAAGTTATCATCTTGGCCTTCCAATAGGGATAGTTCGAGCCATCAAATTGGGGTGGCTTCTTGGTGTTGTTGATTTGAGCCATTTTTACACTGAAGGTTGTTAAGCCTCAAATCACGGTGACCATGGATCCGATACCACTTGAAAGGTCCTAATGGCTAGAGGGGGGGTGAATAGCCTATTAAAAATTTCTACAACAACACTTAGCAAATCGGTTAGACAAATATGAGCTGGAGACAATCACCAACCTCCGCTCGATGATCCTCGCTGCTCCAAGCTTCTAGGTGGCGGCAACCACCAAGAGTAACAAGGGAATCCTGCAACAAAACATGAACACCAAGTGCCTCTATATGCAAACACTTAAGCAATGCACTTGGATTCTCTCCCAATCTCACAAAGATGATGAATCAATGATAGAGATGAGTGGGAGGGCTTTGACTAAGCTCACAAGGTTGCTATGTCAATGCAAATGGCCAAGAGAGTGAGCTAGAGCCGGCCAAACGATATTTATAGACACCCCCAAACAATAGAGCCGTTGGGCTCACAGAGCACCCTACTCCGACTGGACGCGCAGGTCGGGGAGACTGGACGCACGCCACCCAGCGTTTGGTCGCGCGATGCGCGCCACGTGGCCCCTCGATTTAACCTCATCCACGCGATCTCAACGGCCAGTCTACTTCGTGCCACGTGTTAAGTTGCAACCGGACGCGCTGCTCAAAGTGGCCGAACGCTCCATCACTGGAGTCCGGTCGTTTCTAGTAAGGTTCCAGAGATTGTTTTTCGCGACCGAACGTGTCCGGTCATGCCCGACCGGACTCGCCCAACGTCCGGTCACTCACCCTTTTCTCTATGTGCCACCATGTCAGCAGGACCGGGCGCTGAACAATGTTCAGCCAGAGTCCGATCACCTGTGTCCGATCTCAAGCCGAGAGTAGCCCGAGCACTCCACTGATTTTTATAAATGACTGGAGGCTGCTCCCCCGAGTCCAATCACCACGTGACCAGCGTCCAGTCACTATTTGTCAGTGACTATCACCTCCTTCATTTCACCAACTTCTCCACCCTTGCTCAAATGTGCCAACCACCAAGTGTATCACCTTGTGCACATGTGTTAGCATATTTTCACAAATGTTTTCAAGGGTGTTAGCACTCCACTAGATCATAAATACATATGCAATGAGTTAGAATATCTAGTGACACTTTGATAACCGCATTTCGATACGAGTTTCACCCCTCTTAATAGTAGGGCTATCGATCCTAAATGTGATCACACTCGCTAAGTGTCTCGATCATTAAACCAAAAAGCTCCTATCAATTTCACCTTTGCCTTGAATTTTTTGTTTTTCTCTTTCTCCTTTTCAAAGTCCAAGCACTTGATCATCACCATGGCATCACCATCATTATGATCTTCATCGTTGCTTCACCACTTGGAATAATGCTACTGTTTACACCAAAATTTGGAAGAAGAATTGTAGGAACTCGAAAGCTCCCGAGATCATGTCATCAAGGAATTGATTGCATAAAGGTCGGTATTAGCTGATTCGAATGCAGCACTGGAATCGGCTCTCTTCAGATAGCGCCAGCAGATAACGATAAAAGCTACATTCGGCGCCAGAAAAAACATGTTGGACTCTACAAAAAGAGAAAAATTAGGGTCCAAGTTATCTTAAATTAGGAATGTTTTCTCTTATACCAAAGATTGTAATGAGTCATGCTTAAGTAGGATTCATGCATAGGTTCCGGGTATAAATATTGGACCCCAACTATTGTAAAGGACACAATTAATCAAATACAAGTTACTTACTTTTTCGGCTCCGACCACCCCTTAGGAGTAGGAGTAGTGTAGATCTCAGCGAGTTCTTCAGCGAGCAGGACTGCATCGGTCCGGCCGACCTCCGGCTTGTCTGTAAGTACCGTCATGGCTTATACTTCTGTTCGTACGGCTACATCGATCTGGTCAACCTTAACTGTGACTTTTGTATAAGCTAGTTATCGACTCTTGTCTAGTTCAAGTATGGCTGCATCGATCCGGTCGACCTCCACTGCTCGAACTAGATTAAGGTCAAGTTATCGGCTCTATCTAAGGGTGGCGTCCTTTGGGTAGATTCATTAAGTTACCGATCTTGTTGATGTTTTCATTGTTATTAGTTTACAGCAACATCAATTCGTCTGGTCGAGATCGAATTAGATTGGTATCATATCCTTTAGATCCGTTGTTCATTTGTTACAACACGATATTATCTACCTTGAACGACGGTTTATGTTTCATTGGCTGTTTTACTTCAATCTTGATCGTGCATAGTACGCGGTTAAGGCATGCATAATCTTGAAGAGGTCTGCTGGCTAGTTGAATCTAGTTTATGGTTCACCATTATGGCTGTAACGATCCGGTCGATCCCCACTGATGGCACTGTAGATTGGAGGATGCTAGTTAGTAGATTTGTTCTTGGCTAGGTGTGACCTTAGCTGTTTGTTATGCCTGCATCGGCTAAATAGCCGATCGCCTATGCGTTAACGCCTAGAGCATGTTTACATGATTCCGATAAGTAAGCATTAGTAGATCTGTGTGCTTTAAGGGTTTGATTCGTTATCTTTTTCACTGCTGCATCGATCCGGTCGAACCCCACTGTTAGAGACAACATGTTGAGTCTGAGGAGTCCATAGGTTTTTTCATGTGAAATAGTCGATTGTTCACATGCCGTAGTCCTTCTCACCTGAATCAGTTGTTTTAGCCGATTCATCCGAGCCTTCACGTATAACATGTCTTTCAGAAAGCCTGTCGAAGTATGGATGTCTTTGCGGATTCTTCGGTTTTGGTTTGTTACTATCATCATAGCTGCCATCGATCCGGTCGAACCTCATTGTTAGTGGTAATAGATTAGATTCAGAGCGTCTGTAGATCCATTTGTATTAGATAGTCAATTTGTTCGCATGTTATATCTTTTCTCGTTAGATTCATTGGCTCAACGATTCATACTGATAATATTCACCTAGCTGATGATCTTATTTACATATACGTATTGTACCTGTCAACATAAAATTAATCGCTACCCATGAACTTTACAGTCCGTAATAGCTGATTTCTGTGCGGATCGGCTATTCATTCGCTTTTTCCCGAATGGCTGCTCCCGAAGCAGCACACTTAGAACTGTCTGGGCACATATTCCACCTTAAATTATTGATAAACTTTCTCTCCTTGTCAATTACAGGGTCAAATTGACTGGCACGTCTCAGGAGGAGTACGCAGGATCGACCATCCTTGCGTTGAAGCCAGGTGGATCTCCAGCTCCATCGAGCAGACCCTTTCGTCTTGCTCATGTGCCCGGCACGATTGACACGTTTTTGTGCCGACAGCTACCTATCTAATGATCACTTAGATGAGCTAGGTTAGCACTTAGGGTTTCATCAATTCACCAAAACCAAACTAGAGCTTTCAACTACACAAACACTATTTTAAACGAGAGTCAACCTAAACTGAATGATGAGGCCAATTCATGTAATTGATTATTGTGTAAGCAACCACAAAAATCAGGAAAGAAAATATATGATATATTTTGTACAACTGTTTAAGGAATAAAGTGCATTAGTGGAAAATATTTTCCCAACCTCAAAGAAACATTTTATCAAACACATGGAGTGTGGATTAGAATTGATCCATTTCAAATGATTTTTATGAATATGTATTCACGTGATGGATCATTAACCAATTTAGTAAAACATGAAGAGGAGGAGAGGGAAGACATGACCTTGTATATGTTCAGCGAGTGAATTGGTGTTGTGTGCCTGATAGCTTTGACGGATTTTCGGCATACCTGTTCAAACACCTGGTGCCATGCTCGAGTGGATCTTCACCCCCCGCAGGCAACCATGCAAAAATTGTGGCTTCGTTAAGACCATTCAATCATCCATATGAAAATTGAGGAAAGGATCAATACCTCATGAGCACTCATGGTTGAAGGGGAGATGCAGGCAACGGGCAAGGCGACGTAGATTCTACCACCGTCTACCGTGTGCTTAACACTGCTGGATTCTAATCGCCTGGTGGGGGAAGGATTGTAGTGCAACTAGAAGGGTGAGGGGCGGATCTGAGGGTGCCGTGGAGTTAGCCACATGGAGGAAGCCGGAGGGAGCACCGCGGGGGAGAGGATCCAAGGGCGGCTAGCGGCGGCCCATCACTCGCACCCTTCCCCACCCCTGTCACAATGGAGAAGAGGGTTTGAGTCCAAGGGCAGGATTCCGTCATGCCGAATCGGAGCTCCAGGGGATCTAGAATGGGAGTAGTGGTACCATGGTCCGCAGCCATGGAGTAGGCCGCCGGCAAGGCCGTCCACGGCGCGCACGCATCCCTCCCAAACCTCCCGAGTAGGAGAGCACCCGGTCGGCTACGGCCGCCACGGCAGGGGCGCGGCGGTCCTCCCCCGTCCTGGCCGCGACCGCGACCAGGCAGCAGCGACTGGTGGAGGGCCCCCACAGCGGGCCGTGCAGCCATCGGGACACACGCGACGGCGGCAGCGTGAGACACGGTTCTCAGCAGGCCAATAGGATTTCTAGCGTCTTCGTTTTTCTTTTTTCTTTTTTTCCCAGATCCAGCAGGTTTCGATCGCGGGTGGGCTTGCGGATGGGGCGGTTTCGATTGCGGGTGACTGCGGGATCGCACGGGAAAGGCAGACCGACGTGTCGACGTTTTTGTCGCACGAAGAGGTGCCGGTGGACCCAAAACAAATGTCACACCAAAAATGTCCACACTTTATTCTTTTTAGTCGTAGGAGTATGAGATATAAGAGCTTTGTTACTGTGCTAGTTCCTCCCGTCAAAAATATTTACCGTAGAGGTCTTAATTAAGAAAATTAATCAACTATAATTAAGGACAGTTCAGTACTTTTTCCTAGCAATACACGGTGCACAATCTATCTCCCTAATCCAATTCCCCCGATTCCACGAACCCTCATCGCGAGATCTCGCTGCCTCCCGTGGCGGGCATGGTCTTCTTCACCGACGCCTACGACCTCTTCTGCATCTCGCTCGTCACCAAGCTGCTCGACCGCGTCTACTACACCGACCCCACCAAGCCGGACCCGGGCACGCTGCCGCCCAACATCGCGCCCGCGGTGAACAGCGTCGCCCTGTGCGGGACGCTCGTGGAGCAACTCTTCTTCGGTTGGCTCGACGACAGGCTCGGCCAGAAGAGCGTCTACGGCATGACGCTGCTGCTCATGGTGGTCTGCTCCCTCGCCTCTGTGCTCTCGTTCGGGAGCACGCCCGCCGGCGTCATGGCCACGCTCTGCTTCTGCCGCTTTTGGCTCGGTTTCGGCATCGGCGGAGACTACCCGCTCAGCACCACCATCATGTCTGACCGCAGGGATTCGGCATCCTCGCCGGCGGCATCGTCACGCTTGCACTCTCGGCGGTGTTCCGCAGGGCGTACTATGGCCTCTTGTCCGCCCGCGCTTGGAGACATGAAGGGAGAGACGAGAGCTTGCACAGGGAGATAAGGGATAGCTAAGCTAAACTACTATTCTAACCTTTAAATTTATTTTGAAAATAATTTTTTTTTTGCTCATATATCATCCACATATTTCTGGTTTCGGCCCACAATTTAAGTTCCTTTGATTCTTCTTCGTTTATAGCTATCTAATCCATAAAGATGGATGACTCTAATTTTTTTCCGAGCCATGTAAAATTTCACTCTATATAAACGTTACCGGCAGTACCGGACTCTCGCCGCCGACCTTGACGACATCCCTTCGCCGAGGCTCCTCGCCACCCACATCCCTCTGTCGCTGCTGCCCTCGTCGGTAGCCGCACATCCCTCTGTCGCTGCTGCCCTCGTCGGTTTGGGCTGCCGGATCGTCTCCATGTGGCATTTCACGAACAGGGTCTCCGACAGGGTGGGAGACTAGGCGAACCAACTCAGCGCTGAGATGGCACAGCACCTGGACTCCATCGTCGAGGAGAAGCTCAAAGGCTCTGGCCTCAACTTCTGATTCCCAGGCCCATACATATGCTCCACTCAGATCACCCCTTGTTCTATTTCGTTGCAGTTTGGGTTTTACCATAATAATCACTGTTTTCATTGCTTGGTTACCAATGTAACAAGTGTCATGTAGTCAATGTTCATTTCTGCAACTTCCATTGTGTTGGTATGTTATATGAATTTGCATGTAACAGTATCGAGCACTTCGCAATCAAGCATTACAAACAAGACTGATGTCCTGTTGCTGTAATAAGAAAAACAAAAGAAGCATTCATGATTCATCCATACCAAATTTGTCCTGTTCGGCTACTCGTTGCGCATGGATCTATCTCTCACGATACAGCACCACGCACCTAGGTGAGGTGCATGGCAGCATGATGCGGCAACACATCAAAACTGTACGCAGATTTTACCATTGCATGTAGCCTAGGGGCGTTTCCTGCAATGAAAGAGTTATCTTCATCGAATGGAACAACCAAAGACTGATTCAACTCATTAGCTAGGTCACAACTACAAAAAGGTGGATGCTGGATGAGAACCGACTATCCAATTAGTGGGCAGGCGCCCTCACAGTAGATAAATAATTCTTCCCGTTTGATACATGGCGGAACAGAACGGCTTCTCTTAACACCGCAAAGCCACTGATCTCCGCTGTTGCACCATAAGAGCAAAATCTACATGGCACTGAAGTTTGACATCTCTAATCTTTCGACGTTATGACCAGCAAGCCCAGTGCGCCAATCAGCAGGTACTGCAGCAAAGATAACATATAGATCAGCAGAGCTTCCAATGATACTAAGGGCGTACCCAGTGCAGAGAGCTCCCGCTCTGTGCGGGGTCTGGGGAAGGGTGTCAGTGGCAAGCCTTACCCTCGCTTGTGCAATGCGAGGAGACCACGACTCAAACCCGGGACCTTCCGGTCACAAGCGGTAAGACTCTACCGCTTGCACCAGGCCTGCCCTTCAGAGCTTCGAATGATACTGAATACATTAATTAATGCTCAATTTGTGGATTCCTGGGTGCTCCAGATTATCTAGGAAACAATCAGTGCACTTGCCTAATTTACACAAGCAAGAATGGCTGAGTTTCATCCACATAATGACAGAAATATTCTCAGATCAATGTGGCTATGTTCTTGATTGTGTTTGTGTGGCTGTACTCAGACTAGTTATTGGTTTGTGTGGCTCTTGTTTTGTCAGTGTTTCATTACAGAACAATCCAATCAATATTTAGACGAGAATGAGCATACCTTAATAAATGGTTTCTCAGTCATGATAATTGTAACCCAGCCAACATATGGAAGGTAGCTGTTGTCATTGGAAAAAATAAGGTCAGCTGAACTGTTTTCCAGTGGGCAAAAAGACAGATGCGTGCTATATAAGGTGAACTCACCCCACGGCACGTCCCATAATGTGATGTTGCTGGAGCCAAAGCTGCCCATGTGCATATAATAGTCGGTCATCCCCAAAATTATTGTCACCTGAAATGGAATTTGTAAGGTAAAGAGAACATTGGAATCACAATCACAGTACATCGTACACATAGTGTTGGTTATTATCAGGATTACACAGTACCATGTGGTAGTATAATCAGAAAAAAAAGTAAATGGAAATAAATTATAGTAATTCAAACTGAAAGTGGGATACCTTTGGTGAGGATGTCCACTTCTGCAGTGTCCTGACGTTCATGGACCTATACAAAGAGAAGAGTAAACTCAAAGTGAGCAGGAAAAAGAGCAGAATCTAAAATCAAGTTTAACATGGCATCAATTGAAGTGAACAGCTCAAAATGTACCACCTTAATCACACGGTGAACAATTGGAATTTCACGGCCCTACATAAATAGCAGCCGAATGAGCATTACTGAATAGATAACTGTATGAACAAACATTACAGTAAGATTTAATAGAGCAAATTCATGATTCATCTAATAATTCAAGGATAAATAGTAGGACCCACATCGACATTGAAAACAACTATTTCTCCTGTGCGAATAGGATCTTTGCTCATATGCAGAAACAGGATATCACCCTGAAAACAAGACAATTAATCATTAAGGCATAACCGTACAAACAATACTGGCACTTCAAAAGCGTACATACAACTAGCTCTAGAGTAAAAATAAAAAGTGGTACTCCCTGCTTCCACAAAAGAATGCAATTCTAGCACAGTAGCAAGTTAAAGTATCTTGAGTTTGACTAACTATAAACAAAATATATATCAATATTTATAATATCAAAGAACTATCATTACATTTGTCATGAGATATATTTTCATACTATACTTATTTGGTGTCATAAACATTAATATTTTGGCCTATATGCTTGGTCATATTTTATACACGTCAATGAAGAATGCACCTAGAATTGTATTCTTTGTGGACAGAGGTAGTAGATAAAGTGTACCTATGCGCAAAAAAAAAAAAAAAAAAGTAGATAAAATGTTCCATACCATAGGAGACCATCGACATGTTATGGTACAAATCTTACAAGGTTAATTTCACAAAATTACCACATTACTGTCATAATCATCACAAAGCTACCACTTCTGGTGCCCATTTCACAAAACTAGCAATACTTAAGGCTCACTTCTAACAAACCTACCCCACCTTTGCCCTCCAAAATGTTTTGAGCACCTGGGCCCACTGGTCAGCATCACATATTGCAACAGATTGGGTCCACTCTTTTCTGCACTATGTGATGCTGACAAGTGGGTCCAGGTTCTCAGGGCAGGGGCACAATGTTGTAAGTTTGTGAGAAGGAAGCCCAAAGTTTGGTAGTTTTATGAAACCAGCACTAGAAGTGGTTATTTTGTGAGAATTGGGACAGGGATGTGGTAGTTTTGTAAATTTTATACTCATCTTAAAAGGAAAAATCTGGTAATAAGGACAGTGAAACTATGCTTCCATTCAACGTATACAAACTAGTAGAACTTAAAAAAAGTGAGAAGCATTCATATAAAAAATGGAAATGTTCCTTTGTGCAGCAGTTTCTGAAACTTAAATCGGCCACAGATAAAAGGAAAAATGTTTTGTTAAACAGTTACTAATGTCAACATGAAGCATGTAGATATCATAAAAGCATACAACACCTAAGGTTATTTCCATGTTATGTAGAGAGTAAACAAACCCTTTTAAATCCGGGCTCCATGCTACCAGAGAGAACCACTACAACTGGTGACTCGCTCCCCGTGAAAACTATCAACCCCTTCCATATGATTAACGCAGAGGTAACAATCATACCTGCAAAGAGAAACATTCGAAAGTTAAAACCCTCCGCATGAGACTCATGTTGCAATTAACAGTCAAATATCAAACTGCAGGAAACTCCCAGTCTTGCAAACTGATATACATACAACGCTACCCCTCTTGAATATCACAATTCTACAAACCTGAATTGTTATTAGCGACAACTAGCATCTATGGTAACCCACAAGAAACCTAATCAATTCTTCAAGAGAGCATAACCATATTATTCATGCCCCAAATAATTTTTTTTCTCGAACACGCAAAAGGTTTGAGCGTCTTTGTATTAAGGTAGAGAAAATGTTCAATACATCACGCCTTATCGGCACCCTAGGAGGTCAAAAAGATGTACATGAACGCTCAAACCCTCATAGGGTGTACTAGCTATGCTATTACGTTGGTCAAAGATAAACCCAAATTGCGGTGCCGGCTAGGAGGCCTATGCCTGGGCTGCCGAGCGGCAGCGGCGCTGCTTGCGCGCGCCCACCTCGCTGCCTGCTGGGGAACAACTCACGCTCCAAATAATGACCGACGAAGAAAAAACACAATCCAGTTCTATAAGGCAATTCGATTCTTGTTCTATTCTTCACATTCTCATGATTCTTAAGAGGAGTAACTTAAGAGTTCAGATCATAGAACCAGATGAAGAATCTGGAGCAGTCTCTTCCTCCAATCTCACGGCCAAAACCCACTGGAAATCGAAAAAAGACGTATCCCGCTCATTAAAACCGTACTAGACTCGCATGGCAAAGACCTCACCACAAACCCAAGAACTACAGGGCTCCCGACGCACTGATCTGACTGCCAAAGACCTCGAGAAGAAAAAACATTAGAGGGAGAAGAAGAGGAGACTGCGGCAGAGGGCGTCACCGAGGCTGATGATCTGCGTGAGCACTTGGCGGATCTGAATGGAGCGGATCGACTCCATCGTGTCGCCGACGAACCCCATCTCGCTCCCTCTCCCTCGGCTTTCCGGCGGCGAAATCACGAATCACGAACAGGGAGGGAAGTGGAGGAAGAGGAAGCACAACGACAACGGGCCCGCGGCGTTCTCCGCTCGTGTTTTTTTTCGGACAGGACCCCGCCGATCCTCGATATTGTGGTACTAGCCTTCGCCACGTCACCGGCGGGGTGCACGTCAGTGAATCTATTTTAGGGCGTCGGATGGGAATCCGGCGGCTCGAACCGTGTCCGTGTTGGTCTACGCTGGGCCGGTTGGATTGGGCTCCATTTTCCCTTTTCTTGATGAGATCAGAAGAGGACTGGGCTATAGCTGTTCTCCGTATCCAAGGATATGGGCCTTAAGATTCAGCCTATTTCCGTGTTAGATCTAGAGGCCCGTGTCAACATGGAAAATACCACTCTTTTAATTTTGTTTTTGCCTGCACTCAAAAGAAAAATAATTTTTTTGCCATTATTACCAGATCACGCTTAATCCTTGCCTCCTTGGTGAATCATTTTCCACTGACCCTCTTATAATGGAGGAAACACATTAAATATTCCTTGACATCCCTTTTTGAGGTCCAATTATTTGATAACTTTCGATGTGAGGGTGTTGCAACACAATGAATAGCAATCCCTATCCTTGGGTCCAATTATAATTTTTGATATGAACATCTCATGTCTATATTCATTCATATATATTCTACTCTCTCCGTCCTAAAGAGAATGCATTTCTAGAACTTTTCTAAGTCAAACTATTTTATATTTAACTAAATTTATAAGAAATAGTATGTATAGTTATAATTCTAAATAGATATACTTAAAAATATATTTCATGAAAAATCTAAAGATGTTTATTTGATAATATCATAAATAATAGTATAATTTGTAAAATTTGGTCAGATTGTTTGACATATAGCACTATAGTTGTATTTCTTTTGAATGGAGGGAGTAGAAAGAAATGTCTAATTAAGTCTATATTGCATAAAAGGACTCGCTTGGCAAGGGTTCTGGAGCACCTCTGGCTCTAGCTCTGCTCTAGGCGAAGCGAAACTCTGCCAAACAGTCATTCAAGAAATAGCTCCGGTGAAGATGCCTTGAGGAGCCAGAGTCGTTCTACTACCAAGGAGGCGGAGCTGCGAAAATGTAGCTTCTCTTGGCTCCTCATCATAAGTTTGGCACAAATTATAACAAAACTACCATTGAAGCAATTTTTGCCAAATGTTTTCCAAAACGATTTTGGCTTCATCAGAAAAGCCCCTCCACAAAAGTAGTGTTGTAACCTATAGTTTTGTATGGTCTAGATTAGCGCCGGTCACCGCGGCGGCATGACGTCACCCACGACCTGAGTCGTGCACTCCTTGCGCACCCATGATGTAACTCATATATATTACTCTAAATGAGGCAATACAGATTCAGTTGGCGCATTCTATGTCTCTACATGGTATCGGAGCGTGGCTTGATCCTTCTTCACTACCCACCCCGTCTTCCGCAACCGCCGCTCGCCGACGTTAGCCCTTCCTTCTCCTTTTCGCTGCCCATCTCTCCAGCGCCATGGATGCCAACCACAATCCTCTCTTTGAGCACCACTTCTCTGATGTCGCCTCCGACTCCTCTGCTTCCTTGGTCGCGGACGTCGCGCCCTCCGTCACCACGCCGATGGTCGCCGTCCTCCAAACTGTCAACATCAAGTCCCATGTCCCTGTCGAACTCGATCTGACTAAGTCGAATTACACCGAATGGCGCTGTTTCTTTGACGCGTTCATCGACAAATTCGGTCTCAGCTCCCACCTCTCCTCATCGCCGACCATCGAGAACCGCCATGATCCGGCTTGGGTCATGCACGATCAGTGCCTTCTCTCATGGCTCTACAATTCCATCTCCAAATACGTTCGTGCCATCGTCCGCGTTCCCGGCGCCACGGCGCACTCGATCCATGATCAGTTTTGGGACAACGAGCTGCATCGTGTTGTCTACCTAGAGGTGGAGTTCCGCAATTTGATGCAAGGCGACATGGACATCACCACCTACACCGACCGCCTCAAGCACCTCGCCGATGCCCTCCGCGCCGTCGGCCAACTGGTTCAAGAGATGTCGCAGGTGCTCCAATTGCTTCGTGGCCTCAGTCCGAAGTACCGCCACACCATCCTTGTCATCACCGCCAAGAACCCGCCCCCACACCTTCCTCTCTGCTCGTCCGTACTTGCTTTTGGAGGAGCAGTACGATTGTGAGCATGCCAAGGCGGCTCAACATCACGCCCTGCTCGCCACCGGTTGAAAGGTCCTAATGGCTAGCAGGGGGTGAATAGTCTATTAAAAATTTCTACAACAACACTTAACAAACCGGTTAGATAATTATGAGGCGAAGCAAGTGTTACGCTAGCCTACTAAAATGCAAGCCACCTACCACAATTCTAGTTTCTATAGTTTCTATCCACACAATTGCTATGGCACTACACTAAGTTAGTGTGCTCTCAAAAGCTAACTAAAGAGCCACATTAATCAAACTAACAAGGTCTCACAACTAGCTACACTAAAGAGCTTGACAACTAGTTTACGGCAATGTAAAGAGAGTGAGCAAGAAGGTTATACCGCCGTGTCGAGGAAGGAGCTAATCAATCACAAGAATGAATAATAATGAAGACCAATCACCTCAGAATCAAATGATGACACAATGATTTTTTACCGAGGTTCACTTGCTTACCGGTAAGCTAGTCCTCATTGTGGCGATTCACTCACTTGGAGGTTCATGCGCTAATTGGCATCACACGCCAAACTCTCAATAGGGTTCCGCACAACCAACACAAGATGAGGATCACACAAGCCATGAGCAATCCACTAGAGTACCTTTTGGCTCTCTGTCGGGGAAATGTCAAGAACCCCTCACAATCACCACGATCAGAGCCAGAGACAATCACCAACCTCCGCTCGATGGTCCTTGCTGCTCCAAGCCGTCTAGGTGGCGGCAACCACCAAGAGTAACAAGCGAATCCCGCAGCGAAACACGAACACCAAGTGCCTCTAGATGCAAACACTCAAGCAATACACTTGGATTCTCTCCCAATCTCACAAAGATGATGAATCAATGATGGAGATGAGTGGGAGGGTTTTGGCTAAGCTCACAAGGTTGCTATGTCAATTCAAATGGCTAAGACAGTGAGCTTGAGCCAGCCATGGGGCTTAAATAGAAGCCCTCACGAAATAGAACCGTTGTACCCCTTCACTGGGCACAACACGGGGTGACCGGACGCTCCGGTCATATTGACCGGACACTGGACCAGCGTCCGGTCGTGCGATGCATGCCACATCCCCTCTCTTCAAATACTGAGCGCCTGATCCCAATGGTCAAGTGATGACCAGACGCGCTGCTGCGAAGTGATCGGACGCTGAACCTCAGCGTCCGGTCATTTCCAGTAAGCATCCAGAAATAATTTTTCATGACCGGATGCATCCGGTCATGCTCGACCAGACTCACCCAGCGTCCGGTCACTCGGTGACTCCTCTGTGTACTGCCATGTCAGCAGGACCAGACGCAACCCTCCAGCGTCTGATCACTAAGTGACCCAGCGTCCGGTTAGAGACCGACGCCAGCATCTTTGCAGCTTCTACTGACCGGACGCGCTGGTCCAACCGAGGCTAGCGTCCGGTCACTTTCAGTGACCTCCGTCTTTTCTGTCTAGGGCGTCGGTGGCACCGTCGGACTGTCCGCACTCTATGGGTAGACACTCCGCCGGTGAAGTTCCTAACCCTTGCTCAAATGTGCCAACCACCAAGTGTATCACCTTGTGCACATGTGTTAGCATATTTTCACAAACATTTTCAAGGGTGTTAGCACTCCACTAGATCCTAAATGCATATGCAATGAGTTAGAGCATCTAGTGGCACTTTGATAACTGCATTCCGATACGAGTTTCACCCATCTTAATAGTACGGCTATCGATCCTAAATGTGATCATACTCACTAAGTGTCTCGATCACCAAAACAAAATAGCTCCTACCATTTATACCTTTGCCTTGAGCCTTTTATTTTTCTCTTTCTTCTTTTCAATTCCAAGCACTTGATCATCACCATGGCATCGCCATCATCATATCATGATCTTCATTTGCTTCACTACTTGGAATGTGCTACCTATCTCATGATCACTTGATAAATTAGGTTAGCACTTAGGGTTTTATCAATTCACCAAAATTAAACTAGAGCTTTCAATCTTCCCCTTTTTGGTAATTGATGACAACCATTTCACAAAGATATGAACTGAAATTCAATTGAATTCATGTTGCTTGTCCAAGCATATTTACTATGTATAAAAGGATATGGACAAGTTTCATGAACTCCATATGGTAGCGATTGCTCCCCCTATATATGTGCTAAGAGTTTGGATTGTAGCTTGCACATATGCTTAGATAGGAAATATAGAAGACAATGTCTACCAAATGATGCTAAGGTATAAAAGATGAACCTTTGAAGCGTGATACCAATCAGAGTGCACCATTATACCATCCTTAGCATCATGGTTAGCTCGATACCACTTGGAAACACTTGGAAATGAAATCACTAGATAACCTATGCATGCTAGATTTTCCTTTCATCATTCAAACCTACAACTAGCATACACCACACAAGCATGGATATTGAAATTTAAAACTTGTGTCATGCAAGCAAACATATGAAATGCACATTCAAATGCACCATACAAGTTCACGAGCTTGCTCCCCCTACTTGTGTGCTCACAATTTTAATTGATCTTAATTGATCCTCTTCCTTTGTCATATCTCTCCCCCTATGTCTCCCCCTTTGTTGTCTTTTCACTATCTTTGTACACTATTTTTTCCCCTTTGTCATCAATGACCACAAAGGCTTAAATCATTGATAGGTTAGGATTATCAATGTCAATTAATGGGGTGAGGATCATTTTCCCAAATTTGGTCCAATCTAGATCATTTGCCAAAGTTATTTAACTCAGTTTGATCCAAGGACAAGCTTCTTCACATCTCCAAATAAGGGTT